GAAAATTTTTTATATTCAATTGGGACTTCATGGCCCGTAAAGGGAATTCCCTAATGAACAATTGGTTTTCAACCTTGCTTTCGTAATTTTGTGTTTTATTTATCCCGCTGCCCCATAATGTATAATAGAGATAATCCCACTGTTGATAGCCTATAGACGGTCGTACCATCTTTTTATATCCTGATCTAACGGCCACGTGTCCAAAAAATTTTGGCATCCTGGGGAGAAGGGGGTTCCCCCAGCCCGGTCCTTGTCCTTCTCGACAGTTTAGACCCCTCAGGAGATTATGAACCTGCTGGGTTTAGGCCCTGCTCCTTGGGGCAAGAAGGCAAGGTCCATATTCTCTTAGTTGCAGCCCCTTTGTTCGGGGTTCAAAGGCAGGGCTGATTGGGGGGAGTTGGGGGCACCGCCCCCCTTTCAATGCACAAGAGCAGGGCGGGATTGGGGGAGGGTTTGCGATTCCCACCCTCATTCATGCCTCAGAATAGGGCTTGATTGGGGGGGTTGGGGCCCCCCACCCCCTATCACACTCCAAAGGCAGGGTCAAAGGGGGAGGGTTGGGGGCGCCACCCCCCTGTGAATGCACAGAGGAGGGGCCAATCAGGGGGGTTGGGGCGCTGCCCCCTGTCAACACACAGAGCAGGGCCAATCAGGGGGTTGGGGCAGTGCCCCCCCCCATCACGTACAGAGCAGGGCCCATCAGGGGGTTGGGGAGCTCCCCCCTGTCACTCACAGAGTAGGCCCGATTAGGGGGTTGGGGCGCCCCCACTGTCACACTCAGGGCAGGGCCGATGGGGAGGCTATGGCTCTACCCCATCACACACAGAGCAGGGCCCGTGGGGGGGGGGGGGTTGGGGCGCCACCCCCTGTCACACACAGAGCAGGGCTGATCAGGGGGTTGGGACGCCACACCCTGTCACACACAGAGCCGCAGGGCGATCAGGGGGTTTGGGCGCTGCACCCTGTCACACACAGAGCCGCAGAGTGATCAGGAGGTTTGGGCGCTGCACCCTGTCATGCTGATCTGGTGCCAGGAGGCCTCGCGGCTCCACTGATCCCGGTGCTGGGAGGCATATTACCCTTTTACTATATAGGATAGAGGCCTGGGGGCCGGCTGGTTTGCCCTGAAGGGTGTCCTGGATCAGGGTGGGGGTCCCCACTGGGGTGCCTGGCCAGTCTGGGTGAGGGGCTGAGGGCTGCTTTCAGGCTGGCGGTTTTGACTGCTTTCAGGCTGGCGGGAAGCTCCCAACCGCTCCTTTTTTTCTTTTTTTTTTTTTTCTTCTGGGCCAGCTTTAGCTCTGGCTCTAGCTCTGAGGCTTCCGCTGCTGGTTTGTTTGCCGTTCTATAATCGAAACAATGTATAACTTCAGCTCTGAGATCTCAGCTATATTTGTTAGAATGTTTCAAACTGCCAGCTCAGAGGCCTGAAAGTCAGGCGGGGAACGTTGGAGTCAGCAGTCACTGGAGCAAGGAAACCTCATGTTCACTTCCAACTGCCTGGCTGCCGGCCGCCATCTTGGCTGACAGTTAATTTGCATAAGGATACGCTGATTAGCCAATCAGAAGGGTAGCGGTCGTACGCCAATTACCATTTTTCTCTTTTATTAGTGTAGATAATAGGTTCCACAGTTTTCAATTGATCCTCTTTTCAATTTATTACCTAATGTTACTTTAATATATATATATATATATATATATATATATATATATATATATATATATATATATATTTTAGAGAGAGGATGGGAGAGGGAGAAAGAGAAACAAGGATCAGCTGCCTTTTGCAATCCCCCGCCTCCCCACCCTTACTGGGGATTGAGCTTGCAACTTGAGCATGTGCCCTCACCTGGAATCCAAACTGTGACCTCTGGATGCATGGGACAAAGCTCAGCCAACTGAGTCACACTGGCCAGGGCCCTAATGTTACTTTTATGTCTTTTCTCCAATGCCTTTATTTATTATTTCTCTTCTTTGTCTGATTACATTGGCTAGACCTTCTAGAAACATGTCAGAAGGTGGTGGTAGTATGAAGGTTCCCTGTTTGATTTCTGACTTTAATGAGGTCTCTATGTTTTCATTATTGTTTGAGAAAGATACTCTTGATCCTGTCAAATAATCATTCAATTCTTACTTGTGCAGACTGTCAATGCCTTTCATCTGGTCCCCACTAGGACCACACCTGTAGTTAAGTGAGTTGGGTTTATAACTTGTTGCATTGAGGGAGAACACATACTTGTGGAACCATGGCCATCGCTGAAGGAGAGTATGACACAGGAATCTGAGCTTTGGTGTGGTGATTTTGGGCAGGGTCCAAGGAAGTAAGGACTCCCTCTGGACTGGTGCTGCCATAGAGTGGGGAAAATTCTATGACTGAGTATATCAAGAAACCTTATCTATGGAAGGGCAGATTAGACTGAGGGGCCAAAGCTGTGATTGGTAAAGAAGTAGAGGCACTCACACTGTTTGGGAGAGGGAGGCGTTTGGTATTTTGTGACTTGGACAGTGTTTATATTTTATTAGACGTAATTATGGAGGGGTCTCATTTATCTTCTCACCACCAAATTTGTCATCTTCCCTCACTGGTATTGTCTTCCCCTCCCTACCCCTCACAGCAGAAGGAAGGTCCCTACTCTGCCTATGGCCATCTGCTAACTATACCCTGAATACCATCACTTTCTGCATCCTACAAGTTCCGCACCCACTCCTGCCACTACTAGACCATTTCTATCAGCATACGAAGGTCCTTTAGCATCTCCATGATAAAACATTATAAAACAACAGCAACAATAAAACTCACAAAATCCTCTCTTGACCCCACAATCCTCTCCAGATTGTACTATTTTCTACTCCTTTTCTTAGCAAACTTTTCTAAATACTTATCCACATATCTATGTTTCTTCATCTGCCACTCACTGTTTTAAAAAATGAACTTTAGGAGAAACCAAGATGGCGGCATAGGTAAACACCTGAAATTGCTGCCTCGCACAACCACTTCAAAACTACAACTAATAGGCTGGCGCGTCACGTGGCTGCGCGGCGTCCAGGGCCCGGAGCCGCGGGCCGCCGGGCATGGACCCTTAGACCGCCTGGGCCCTGGCGCTGGGGGCCGCGGAGCCGCCTCGGGGTCTGCCGCTGGCGAGCGAGCAGGACTCGCCCCCCAGCGCCGAGGCTGGCTTTGCCCCGCATGACCACTCCGGTCAGGAGAGAGAGACTGAGAAAGCCACGGATGGACTAGCCAGTGGAGCACAGAGCATCCCTAATGGTGGTCCTGCCGGTGATGAGGGCACCCATTCTGAAGAGGAAGGCTTTGCTATGGAGGATGAAGATTCTGATGGGGAACTGAATACCTGGGAGCTGCCAGAAGGGGTGTCCAGCCGTCTGCCTAGGGAACAGGCTGCTGATCTTTTTAATGAGGACTGGGACTTAGAGTTGAAAGTGGATCAAGGGAATCTGTATGATGCTGATGACATCCAGGGCTGCATTTCTCAAGAGGTCAAACCTTGGGTGTGCTGTGCCTCGAAAGGAGACATGATCTATGACCCCAGTTGGCATCATCCACCTCCACTGATACCCCATTATTCCAAGATGGTCTTTGAAACTGGACAGTTCGATGATGCTGAAGACTGAGGGTACAGCTTTTTGCCTGCCAGGTACATGGGTCTTCAAGATTAAGGTCTTTCTTCTTTTCTTTGAGGTGAGATGTCATATCTGAGGAAACATTCCCAATGATTCCTGAGCCAGGCACACAGACTGGTGTTAAATAAGGTCCCACTGCCCCCTCGTTCTGTTGTTGTTTTTCATGAGTGTGTTACCTCTTCAGATGTGTGTTTGTTTCTGCATTAGGAGGAGGAGTTGTGTTCTTTATAAATAAAGAGAAAAAAAACAACTACAACTAAAAGACAAAATGGACATCATCCAGAACCACAGGAAGGCTGGCTGAGTGGAAATTCTACAACTAGAAGGAAAGAGAAAAGCACACTGAGACTCAGAGGAGGTGCGGAAGTAAAGTGCAGAGGTACGGAGGCGCACGTGGAAAGGGCTGGCAACTGAGGACACAGTTGTCTTTTTCAATTGGGAGGGAGAAACAAGCTCCCAACTGCTCTGAACTCCATTTCTGGGCTAGTCTCTGGGGACCCAGACTCATACGGGGAGAAACTGGACTGTCTGGCATCCGGCAGAACTCGAGGGCGGCTTTCTCTTAGAGGTGCTTGCAGCAATTACCATGGGACACTAAGACCTGGGGCCTCTTAGGGCATGGCTAAGGATAAGCCATAGCTGTTTGCTCCACCCTGTTGATTCCCTGAGACCCCACCCCAGCCAAGCTGTGCACAGAGGCTTTTGCATATGAATGGCCTGGTCCTTAGCAATCTAAAATTACCTAACAAACTGCAGCTGGGTCAGACAGACCCAGAACATCCAAAAGAAGGCCCAAGGCCCCACAGCACCTTGCATTGCTTCACAGCTGGGCCTCATCTGGGCACCTCCAAACCCCAAACAAAGAAGAGGAATCTGCAGATCTCTCCATAGCTCCTGCTGGGTAGCCTCAGGCAGAGGCTAAATTAGCACCTCCTTAGAGATCCAAGAGCCAGTGTACCCAGTGGTCAGAGTGGGACCATCCAGATTACAACTCCTCAGATCCATAAGGGACACACTCAGGGGGCAGACTCAGTGAGCACAAAAGCCCCACTGAAGCAAGTCTTGCCCCAGAAGGGTGTCTCCAGCACAGAAGTTCTCCCGCCATAGACACAGCTGATTCTCACAGCCAATTGGCCTGGAGGTCAATACCTCCCAGTGACACCAACAACAATCAAGGCTTAACTAAAACTAGACTGTGCACAAAGCCCACAAAGGGGTGCACCAAAAGTGTCCACCTCAGGTAATTGGGGAGGCTGAACTACTGGGCCCTATAGGACACCTAGCACAGAAAGCCACTCTATCAACACAGGGAAGCAGCCAAAATGTGGAGACAAAGAAACAGGTCACAAATGACAGAAATGGAGGAAAGTAAACTCCTGGGTATAGAGTTCAAAACCACGGTTATAAGGTTTTTCAAGAATTTTCTAGAAACTGCCAATAAATTTAGTGAGACCCTCGATAAATCTAGTGAGATCTTTGAGGATATGAAAAAGGACCAACTAGAAATTAAGCATACACTGATTGAAATAAAGAATAATATACAGAGATCCAACAGCAGACTAGAGGATCACAAGAATCAAGTCAAAGATTTGAAGTACGAAGAAGCAAAAAACACCCAACCGGAAAAGAAAAAAGAATCCAAAAATATGAAGATAATGTAAGGAGCCTCTGGGACAACTTCAAGCATACCAACATCTGAATTATGGGGGTGCCAGAAGAAGAGAGAGAGCAAGATATTGAAAACCTATTTGAAGAAATAATGACAGAAAACTTCCCCTACCGGGTGAAAGAAATAGACTTGTAAGTCCAGGAAGCGCAGAGAACCCCAAACAAAAGGAATCCAAAGAGGACCACACCAAGACACATCATATTTAAAATGCCAAGAGCAAAAGACAAAGAGAGAATCTTAAAAGCAGCAAGAGAAAAACAGTTAGTTACCTACAAGGGAGTACCCATATGACTCTCAGCTGATTTCTCAACAGAAACTATGCAGGCCAGAAGGGAGTGGCAAGAAATATTCAAAGTGATGAATAGCAAGAACCTACAACCAAGATTACTTTACCCAGCAAAGCTATCATTCAGAATTGAAGGTCAGATAAAGAGCTTCACAGATAAGAAAAAGCTAAAGGAGTTCATCACCACCAAACCAGTATTATATGAAATGCTGAAAAGTATCCTTTAAGAAGAGGAAGAAGAAGAAAAAGGTAAAGATATAAATTATGAACGACAAATACATATCAACAAGTGAATCTAAAAAATCAAGTCAATAAATAATCTGATGAACAGAATAAACTGGTGAATAGAATCGAATCAGGGGCATAGAAAGGCAGTGGACTGACAATTCTTGGGGGGAAAGGGCTGTGGGGGGTGCGGGAAGAGACTGGACAAAAATCATACACCTAAAGTGCTCGCTTCAGCATCACATATACTAAAATTGGAACGATACAGAGAAGATTAGCATGGCCCCTGCGCAAGGATGACACGCAAATTCGTGAAGCATTCCATATTAAAAAAAAAAAAATCGTGCCAAAACCGGTTTGGCTCGGTGGATAGAGTGTCGGCCTGCGGACTGAAGGGTCCCAGGTTCGATTCCGGTCAAGGGCATGTACTTGGGTTGTGGGCACATCCCCAGTAGGAGATGTGCAGGAGGCAGCTGATCGATGTGTCTCTCTCATCGATGTTTCTGACTCTCTATCTCTCTCCCTTCCTCTCTGTAAAAAATCAATAAAATATATTTAAAAAAATCGTACACCTATGGATGAGGACAGTGAGGGGGGGGGGGTAAGGGCAGAGGATGGGGTGGGAACCGGGTGGAGGGGAGCTATGGGGGGAAAACGAGGAACAACTCTAATAATCTGAACAATAAAGGTTTAATAAAAAATGAACTTTATATATATCACAGAGGAATATATTATTAAATAGAGATATGGCTAAAGCCCATTTGACAACTCTCCCCATCCTGGTCCCCTCCCTTGACCAGAGCGAACCAAGGTTTATTTGTTCTTTGGTTTCCGTCCAGCCCCTTTTCTACATATTTACACATGTGTACGTCCTGGTGATAATGTCTGTTATTTGTGTGCAGGCATGTGTGCCTTTGTGTGTTTTAACTATATGAAATCACTATCAGCAACTCTTCCTTTTCCCCTCTGTGTTTCAAAGGTCTATGTTAGTATATATAAATTATATTAGTTCCTATAAGCTTACATTATTTAACTGCTGATACAAATAATAATTGCTAATATTTATTGTGTGCAATGTCTCACGCACGATTCTAATTGTTTTACATGTAGTTACTTGTTTAGGCCTTTCAATGACCCTGGGAAGTAGGTATTATCTCCATTTTAATGAGGAAACTGAGGCAGAAAGAGAATAAGTGACTTGCCTAAGGTTATGTGCTCAGTAAGTGATGAAGTCAGGATATAAAATCAGGCATTTGGCTCCCCAGTATGGCTTTCTAATTACTACACTGTTCTATATTTCATGGCATATTTACCCATTTGTCTGTTATTTCCAGTTTTTATGGATAATAAACAAAGCTTCAGGGAGCGTCTTGTACGTGCCTGCTTGCAGGAGTGTTAATGTTTCTCTGCGGTAGACACTGGACGGTGAAACATTTAACATATTTAATATTATTATAGATATTGTCAAATCATCCTTGAAAAAGACTGTCCATTTTACACTTCCTTTAGCCAAATAGATGCATACCGGTTTCCCCATGACTTCACCAACATTGATATCAAATATTAAGAGTTTGCCAATCACAGAGGTTGAAATGGGATCTCATAATTTTCACTTGCCTTTGTCTGAGTGTTAGTGGATAGAGCTTCTTTTCAGGTGGCTACTGGTCTTTTATAGTGTTTCTTTTGTGAACTTTCTATCAATAATCTTTACCCATTTTTCTGTGAGAATATTTGTCTTTTCTTTGATTTGGAAGAGTTGTTTATATATTTTGGATACTGCAACTTACACTTCAACCCACTCCAATATGGTTTCTATCCCTCCTAATATTTTTCTATGTCATGTAGTGGATTCAATAGATCTTATAACCCATATGACCATGTCCATAAAGATATCAAGGCTCATAAAGGAAAATGGCCACTAGATGGCAGTAGCACACAATCAACTTTATTTGGGCAGCATTTTGACAGTTGCTGGAGAGGAGAAAGTCCCTCACAGCAGGAGACTTTCCAGGGGACTGAGGTGTGGATCACCACCCAGAAGGGAAAGTGGGCAAGGGAACTCTGGGAGAGGGAGACATCATACAGGGTGGGTTTCGGGTCAGGTTGCTCAGCAGCACAGTGGGTGGTCAAAGGCAGGCACAGGGGAGGCCCTTGTGAGTTTGTAAGTCCATTTGCTTTTGACAAGACCATGTGTGTAGTGAGAGGAAGGCCCTGTGGGAGGGCAGGACCAGTAGGGAGTGGGGTTGTGGTTCCCTGACCAGGAAGGAGTGATTGGCTTCAAGTGCAGAGGTGCACGTGGCTGCGTGGGGATGGCCTGGACGTTCTTTTGCAGCCAGGAAGAGACTGAATGACCCCGCGGATGGGTTGAAGGTGAAGGGAGGACATTTGAGGGAGTTGATGCGAGATAAGCTTTATTTTTAGGTAAAAGAGAAGGGGAGGGTATCTTCCAAGAAAGAGTAAGTGGGCCCAGGATAGGCCTCAGAAGATTGAGTTTTGGTAAATCATTTTTTATTGAGATGTAATTCACATACCATCAAATTTTATCCTTTAAAGTGTGCAGCTCAGTGGCTTTAGTTGCACAATTCACCAGTTGTGCAAAGATCACATATCTACTTTCAAAATATTTTCATCAAACAAACTCATTAGGCGGTAATTCTCTATTCCCTCTACTTTCAGTCCATGGAAACTACTAATTTGTTTTCTTTCTCGATGGATTTGCCTATTCAGGACATTTCATATAAATAGAATTATACAATATGAAGCCTTTTGTGACTGGCTTCTTTCCATTAATTTTATGGACTGCATGTTTGTGTCCCCCCCAAATTCATACGTTGAAACCCTAACCCCCAAGAAGATAGTAGTAGGAGGTGGTGTCTTTGGGAGGTGATTAAGTCAAGAGGGTGGAGCCCCCATAATGCTCTTAGTGTCCTTACAAAGAGGAAGAGAGCTAGTCCTCTCTCTCTCCACCATGTGAGGAGACCGAGTAAATGGCCGCCTGCGAGCCAGGAAGAGGACTCCTGCCAGAGCCGCGCATGCTCTGTTT